TCAACTATTTACTTTATGCAGAATCAGTACTGAAAGTATTGTCGAAGGGTTCATGTGCACTTTAAGGACTAAGTCAAGCATCGACCTTGCTTACCACCGACTGTCGAATCCTTTTGAGCATGCAGCTTTCACTACTGTAAAAGAAAAGTTTATTAACACGTTTAGAATGTTTTGACTCCGCCCAAGGCTTGCCAACCTCCATCTGAGGACGAGAGGACTGAGAAAGAGAATTGAAGGGAATTGTAGAAATCTGCAAAGCGGTAAACGGAAAATTGCATTTTTGAATTAGTTGTCGAGGTTGTCACCATCGTAGCCGTGCTCGTGCATGCGTCTTCAGTGATGACATTTGTGCGCAACAGCTACACTCGGATTCAGGGAAGAAAAACGAATTTATGAGTTTAAATTTTTGCCAAGTGATAACTTTATGACATGTTTCCGATAGGTGGACGGGGAAACGTTGCCAGCCCTTACTTACTGGGGAAAGGCCGGGAGGATGTTACCGATACTTTTGACAGCAGCGGAGACTTATAGTCTAATCAGGGCTGCCTGCAAGGTATGCCTACAGGTTTGTCGCGGTGGAAAATTGTGTACGAAATATTGGCAAGCCATACAGTACACATACTTTGGATACAGAAGACAGATATGAAGAGAGTAACCGCACAAGCCTGTGTACCAAGTTTAAGAAAGAATTTGACCAATTTTAGCAAATATTTTTAATTGTATAACAAGTATTTTGGTAGTAAATTTTACAATTCAGGCATCCTGAAATATTTGACACAAGTGTCAATTAAATACGTCATTATCCTTGTTGTCGTTATCGTCATCGTCGTCGTTGTAAAAGCGTGTGACTCACCATAGTCTACAAACTATGGACTCACTATCCAATGAAAAACTTTCTCAACTCAATATTCATTTTAAAAATCACTTTTTTCACTCACTATATAATCGTCGGTACTTTCGACTTTATTAGGATTTATATACATTTTCTTTTGATTGTAAATAAAAATCAATAAATATTTCGTCATCTATTTGTTGTCGTACTCAGAAGTAAGAGTTTTGTTACCATGACAACCACAGGAAATAATTCTTGCGCATGCGTGAACTTTGACGGAAGTCGTCGACAACTTGTTTCCACTCTTTTCACATAAAACAAAGCAAAGTCAACCCAACTTGATCTCGCAAGTCATAAAACAAATTACCAGCGCAGGCTTCTGTATACTTCGGATGCGATCAACGTTGACCTGGCTTCGCGAACAAAGGCAACCCAACGCCGACTACGTAAGAGATTTAATATAAAGGTAACCCAACGCTGGTAATGTAGCCTGATACAACAGTGTCGATAGCACAGCATAATTCTTGATTCACCACATCACGTGGTAGTCACGTGGCTATAGTATGACGTCATCAGCTTGAGGTACTAAGGTTCCTAAGTCATTACAACCATTGTATCGCAGTATGTCCGCACACTCTTTACTTCCAGAAGATTTGGCGTGCCACAGGGGTGACCTACCGTTCGCATCCAAAGCTTTAACATCTGCAAAATACTAGAAACAAATAAGAAATGAGGCATAAACCATTTAAATTTCTCGTGTTTAAACGAGTGTGTAGTATAGTGCATACAATATATCCGTGCAAAACTTTGTAAGAAATTGCACTAATTTAAAAAGGTTAGTAAGTTCAGTAGACCTCAGTAGACCGTAGACCTACAAAACTTTGCACTAATTTGTACAATTTTCTTAGTTAACTTTTTCACGGATATATGTTATGTACTCTAAGAAAGCAAAGTCTATAAGCATATGCTAATCCAAAATATGGACATATGGAAGTTTATGCGTAATGCATAGTTATCAAGCGTGGGTTTACTTACCCATACAAGAAGTTGAGTGATGACAATATTTCCAAGCATACATCCAGAATGTAGCGGTGTAAGCTTGTCTCTGTCATCATTTACTGTATTAACGTCACTTGGCGTACAGTGAGCCAGTAATAATATACATAAAGGTAAATCTTCCTTGGTAACAGCGTCGTTTAATTGCTGGGGGGGAAAATGGAATGAAATAATGAATCAACTAAGTAACGCAAAAGGATCATTTCACTTGTCATTGGCTTTTCCAAAGGGGAGGGGGTCCTCGGCGTTTAGTAGGAGGTGAATAAAGAGGACTCTCCAGAATATTTATGTAAGGAATATTCTTAGGTCTGTAGGATGGTGGGAAGTTTTTCGTTGCCTTTTGTAAAGTTAATTAAGCCTACTGTCTTCTGGGTACTGGGAACACTTATAGAGAAAAAGCCTCATAGGGAAAAGGAAGGGATGGGTTGGGAGAAACAAAATATGAAGGGTGGAATAACCAATTCCACACAACGTCCTGGTTGGTGTGTCCACCCTTCATGAGTGTTGCAGGCCATTATTTACAGACAAAAATTAACATTACTCGCTCTATAGCCTCACCTCGCCTAGAGAGAATTCTGACGGTGGTAGTTCACATAAAAACTGTTTGCTTTCGTATTTGGCTCTTATCCAACGTTCCTTGTCCTCCCTGCGATAAAGAAGAAGTAGTGTTAATTCGAAAAGTTAGTCTCTAAAATGCGCAAAATGTTTTCCGTCAACCTTTCGTCTTTTAATTTTTGTCGTTGTCGTCGTTGACTACATCATTAAATTATAATTCTTGGTCATAGAATAGCTTCATCCTAAATTTCTATGTCAAACTGAAATTACTGCTTTTCTGCTTTACGTTCTTTCTCATGATACTATAACTATATTTTAACGTTCAAGGTTTATTTTTTGCGGTTAGGAGGAAGTTTTCTTTGGAGCTGAGAAGGAATCGTGAATCAGTTTTCTTTTCCTCGCGCTCTTTGCGTCTATGGTACTTAATAGAAAGTATAATTTAAAAAAACCTCTGGTAATGCTATGTTGTATATTTTTTACCTCGATGACGTAGAAGTAGGCTTTTCCTCTTCATTACATCGTCCTTCCCAAATACCGTTAGCCAGATCGTTGCCAATGGCACACATAACAGCTGTGTATTCGGAAGGCCAGTCGTCCAGGTCTAAAGAACGCACTCTAGATAAATGGGTTCCCAGGTTCCTGTGTACACCAGAACACTCGATACACAACAGAGCACCAAGGTTGAGAGACGCCCAGTCCGGATCTAAAAGGCAAAGATTTTTTTAGAAGCTCCTTATTTTTTCCCTGTCCAAACTGAAAAAACTATACGCGTTTAACATCATCTTTTTGCAATTCGCAATGGTCAACGATGGAAATCACAAAGAAAACTGCGCGTATTTGACACAATTGAGCAACTTGAAATATTTTTTCTGTTGATGATTGCGAGATTAAATATGGATTTTTGTATGAGTGAGAAACGATAAACAAAACAGAAAATTTGTAATCGTAGTGTTTGGCCGCAGCCGGACCCTAACCGAGCGCGTACTTTGACATGTTGTGATTGGACGAGACAAGATGCAACGAAACAATGGGAAACCATTTCAGTGTTACGGCGAGTCGTACCACGTACATGCCTTAAGTTAGGATCGCACGCGTTTCTCACTCATAACAGAACCTCTTTATATATCGTTTAGCCTTCTTACTTAGTGCTCCACAGTCCACGCACATATCATTACCAGGTACCCTTCTGATTGCTTGGATATCGGATCCTTCATTTGAATTTGCACTATTTATTCGGGACTGAAAAATAACAGAACAGTATTAGGGGAGGTATAGTGTAGACAAAGTAACACTAATGGCTACGAGATCCACGATTGGCATTTTCTAACATGTTCAGTTTATTCAATTAAATTACAATCCAACGTAAAACCCGTGGTCATGTCTTTAATTATTCAAACAAATAACTATCCTGCGTTTATCAGAGTAGCATTACCTATACTCTTTATAACCGGGTGGAAAATGGACTAGTAACGCAATCAAATGGGTGAAGGAAAAGAGTCCTGAATAATGGGGAACGCATCCCTATGGAGGGAGGGAAACACTATGAATAACGCAATCAAATGGGTGAAGGAAAATAGCCCTAGATAATGGGTAACGCATCCCTATGGAGGGAGGTAAAGACTATGAGTAACGCAATCAAATGGGTGAAGGAAAAGAGCCCTGGATAATGGGTAACGCATCCCTATGGAGAGAGGGAAAGACTATGAGTAA